CCCCAAAACCCCAAAACCCCAAAACCCCACAATCATAAATCGATATGAGATCGGGTAAGGGGTAATTTAAATAAATATGTAATGATAATAATAAAAATGATGATTTGTTTAGAGAATACTTCTAATAACAGCACTTGCATCAAATCTGTGGGCACTTCTCTCAATCTATCTTCAAGTCGAGGCAGACTTCAACTTTCACTTTTCCTTGCCTTTACTTTAATGTTTACTCTGCTATAATCTCCTGTCAAAGGACAAGTCATTATAAATGAGGGAAATTTTAGGCTTGGGCAGCTAAAATCAGAGTTAGAAAGCATTCTTGCTGCTAACTTTAGAGAACAGACCAAGATTTAGGAAGAGCACGAAAGATTAGGGCTTCCTAAACCCAATGTCGAAATAACCCAACAAGAATTTCTTAATTATGCATTCCAACTTTCTCGTGGACTTGGAATCATAAATTACTACACTTAAACTTATGATTGTATAGTTAATGCTTCAACATTATTCATCAGGTATTAAAATCTATTTGAAAGCTTTTCTGGGTATAATTCCTGGCTTGAATTCTCACTAGCTATAGGTAATACCTCAACATGGTATAAAGGGTGCTATTTAAATTCAGAAGGCTCGGTTTTAAGTTTGTATTACTATGTAATGGAGTATAGGTCCCTCTAAAATTACTTGACATACTTTTTGCCAAATATGCTTTCTTATGCCTTTGTGGTAAACACTTGGATCGACAAAATGAATGCACTCTCTTAGCAATAGAACACCACAGGACTTATGTATTATTATGGTATGATAGTCAGAAATATCTTTTTCTTTCCAATGCCTGAAGCTGAATCGTTTTACTCTGGTAACGAATATGCTTAGTTCGACTAGAATAGTAATTTAGTTGATGATACTTTGACAGTGAGGGAAATGAAATTAGAGGATAGATTTACAAGAGAATTTAAACTTAAACTAGAAAAAATTATGAAAGATATAAACAACGAAGACTGGGAAGAAAATCCGTAAGGTGATAATGAGCAGCACGAAGATTGTGAAGAAACAGTTGTAGGAGGAAGAGATAGCATGATTCATAGAAAAGATGTTATAAAAATCAAATCTTAGAATATCTAAGTCTAACAGCAAATGAAACTATTTTCACTTTTGGACTATGTCAAATTCAGCTACTAATTCGTATACTATTTTGTATAGTCCATGTGGTCTTACAATTAAAACTCATTTTTCACCTCTTGCAATAAAAATTTGCAAGGTATGACTAACCAAACGATTCTATTTTCAAATTATGCAGCACTTGTTGGCTCAAATAGATCAGACTTTAAGGAGCTTTCATTTTCTTTTGTAACTATCTTCGAATACATTTACCCCATTTCAAGCTTCTGCGTCTCAGCCTCCAACGAGGTTGCAGATGACACAGTTGATAGATTCAACATATTATTCAGAGAGCCACAGAAAATCTTTGAAAATTCTCTAAGAAGATTAGGTTCAATCCTTATGAATGCAATAACAGTTCCAGACTGCTTCTTTAATCAGACACTTGATGGTATTTGCGCAGGAACTAAAACTGGAAATGCTGTGAATTATATTCTCTTTATTAGCTGAATGAAAGATTAGCCCAGCTATTACTTGTTAATGAATTTATATCATCGCACTATTAATTGTAATGAGTTTGAAAGATCACACTTCCTAATAATTTTATACAACTTAAAATTATCTTTAAATTCAGACTATTTTAATAAGTATTCAGTTAACATTATTAACTATTGATGCATTAATTAATCTCAGAATTTTATTATTATAACTACCTTAAAATAAATTTGTAATTTAATTAATGTCAAGCTAAATGCTAAACATGAAGTCTAATAATTCTTCATTCTAGGAGGAACCAAAAAAGCTCAAGAAGCTTACTAATAGATCAATAAAGTCATTTAAACTCGGGGAAATTCCTGAATACTATTTCCCAGAAGTAGACCCTATAGAACTAAGTCAATAAGTTTCAACAAAGTAATATAATTCCTTGATTAATTTTTCAACTCTCTGATATTGTACAAATTTAGATGAGAAGCAAGAGACCACAAATAATAGAGAGATAAGCTATTCAAATATCTTTGTCCTGCTAAAGAATCAGATTCTGGCATGAGAGTGATAATGAAAAATAGATCCTTACATTCTTTGCTAGAAGATGTTAAAATGATTGATATGGACTTTGTAGAAAACATCAAAACTATCACAGGGGAGCATAGGAGAACATGAGACAGTTTCCTCCCTACAATTCAGAAGCATAATACACAAAATTTCAGTATACAACAGCAATACTAGTAGCCAATGTTTAATTCTGGAGTCTTAAGCAATGTTTATACTTAAAAGCATATGAAAGTTGCTCTTGACAAACCTAAAACATAAATATTTAACAGTCCAGATGATAAATATAAACATAGCATGCATAAAAGCAGAGAAGATTCAACTCGAAGGCTTAAAGGAGAAGAAAAATCGCAAAAGTTTAAGCCCTTGATTTAAGTCAAGAAATAAGAAAACTTTTAGATGAAAAAACGAATGAGCATTTTATTGCAAGATACTTTCAATTTCTAACATAGCAAGAAATATACTTCCCATACTCCCAAATTGAACTTAGCTTCTCAATTTAACCATTAAAATATTCCAACAGTTAAAGTGTAAGCTAAAACTAATACAGATTTATAGCATGTCAACTCATAGCCTCAACTGAGTCTTTAAGAAAATTAAGCATAGATATCCAAGTTCTTGAAAAATGTAGAAAATTGTAGGAAAAAATTCTAGAAAGATACTAAAAGATTCAACAACCAGCATAACTAGTTCAAGAATTCTGTAAATGAACTGGAAGAATTTGTGGACTTTAAAATTCTGAATCCATATGAGAAGTTCTAGGAAGAAGTCAGATAAGAGTTGCTTGATAAATCTCACCATGTTAAACCAAGAAACTTCGAATTGAAGAAATAAACTAAAGTACTAAATGATTATCCTCTAGAAGAAACCATTAGAGCATTTGATGGTTATATAGATTTGGACTCAGGAGTTTTATTTAATAAAGATGTGAGCAGAAAACTAATAGAATCTTCTATAAAGGAAGAACAGTCAAAGAAGAAAAATTATACAATGCACTACCTCTGAATAATATAGATTTAATTCAATCACTCATTCTTTAGGACTAATCATAATCATCAGGGGTTTTGGGGTTTTGGGGTTTTGGGG